AGAGATATCAAAAAACGGTCAACTAATGACTTAGAGATTTTTAATTTTTACACATTTTCTTAGTTGACAGCTTTTTTATATCTCATCTGGCTCTAAAGTTATGGTCGCTCAAAGTTGACCTTCCAAATTTTCCAGTACAAAATGGCTTGAATTTTCACGTGGTGTTCGTATAATTATGGACGGTACTGTATCTCGGTTGCCTTTGAAGCTATCAACAAGTAGTCAACTAAAGAAATGTTAAGCAAAACATTTTAAACATTTTACTAATTGAAAGTTTTTTGATAGCTCCAAAGGCAACTGAGATATGCTGCACTGAACATAGATAGAGGGGAGAGCGAAACAAAATACCGTACATCTACGGCCTCTGCCCATTTTCTAGTTTCTGCTTCTGTGGCCTAGTGGGTAACAGCTTTGATTTGAAAACTATAGACCCGGGTTCGAACCCCATTGAGGTCAAAACTTTTTTTCTTTTTTTTTCCACCCAAAAACCCACTTATTCTTCCCGTACTCTTTATCCTCCTCCTCACTCCGATTGTACTTCACACAGGACCCATTCCTATAGCACCTCGTTTTCCCATTCGCCACCACGGTTGTGGTAGAGGTCTGCATTCCCTCTTTACTCAATTCTTCATCCTCTTCCCCATCAGGGATAGTTGGGAACTGAAGAATCAGGCTCTCCAGGTTGGTATTTGGATTTTGATTGTTCTGAAGAAGGGTCTCAATGGATGCTCGGCGAGCTGGAGGCCCGGTGACCAGGAGGTCGATTCCGTCGCATAAACGGTCCATGTTGGGGGATCTCAATGGAGAAGAAAACGAGGAATCTTCCGTGTCTGATGATTCTTCATTCTCCGACTTTTGAATCTCCTTGGCATGCAGCTCCCTTGAATTTTTGATCAGCAAGGAGTCAGTAGCTCTTAGCAGTTTCTTCGGTTCAAACTTCGGTGGTCCGTTAACATGACCCAATCCATCCCGATCCTCTTCATTATCACCATTTTCAAATGCAATTTGCACAAAAGAATTGGCGATTTCATAGCTTGGAGGACCATCAGTAGGGTTGAAGGGGTTCTCAATCTGGTTGGTGTTTTCGCTGTAGTTCCAGTCAGATTTGATGACGGTGTGGATTGCAGAGTAGGGTGGTGCTTTGTCGGGAAGTTCACGAGCTTTTGGTGGGGACTCATCGATTTCGCATTCGAGGTCGCGTTCGTAGGTGACCTGGAAACTAATTTTTGCTCAAAAATGCCAAAAAATATCCTGTATTCCGTACCAAGCCCTGATTTTTTCGTTTTAGAAATATTCATCTGAAGTTGGTACCAGGGCTGTCGAAAAATTTTTGAAAATTTTATTTTTTTCGGTCATTTCCCGAATAATTTTTCGCCTTTTTAAACCGAAAAATTTTTCGGAGAAAACCGATAAAAACTTTCGAAAAAAAACTTAGAAAAACATGTTTTCACCGCCTTTTCACCCATTTTTATTGAAAAAAACGAAAAAAATCGAAAAAAAAACCGAAAAATCCCGGAAAATTCCGAAAAATCATTTTTCGATTTTTTTGCCCTGAAAAATTCGAAAAAAATGTTTTTCGAATTTTTTTCCGACCAAAGTTTTCGAAAAATGATTTTTTTTTCGATTTTTTTCGGAAATTTTTTTCGCACAGCCCTGGTTTGTACCCCGTCATGCCCAAAATTTTTCTCTTACAAGGGGATGTTTTTCTGATGTAGGTTCGGAGTTTTCTATAAATAGGTGATCTGAAAGTAGCTGTCCCTGTGAGTGGGTTCTGAAATTTCTAGCCTTCACCGGAGCCTGAGAGTTTGGAAATCTTAATCTGAAATCGCCATAAGGGGGCGGGGCCAGAGAAGATTTCCAGAATTTCAGGCTCCAGTGAGGGCTCAGAATTTCAGATTTTGCTCACAGAGACAGCTACTTTCAGACCACTAATTTCTAGAAATTTCCAAAGCCATGTGAAAAAAAATTGCCTCGTGGGAACGCAATAATCACTAGGCTCCCATTCTGTTACCAGCGCACCTGTTTTTTTCCCAAAAATTTCGTAAAAATTACCTTATGATACCCAATGATATACATGACCAAATCATCCAAATCATCCTTATCCACCAAGAACTCCAATCCTTGATGTGGATTACTCGCCAACCGGATACTAATCATAGACGCCACTTCGGTCTCCTTGCAAACCACCAATTTTCCAATCAAATCAAATCCAATCGAAATAGATGGCTGTCCAGATTTCCCTGGGTGCCTCACAAGGAGCCCTGTCCTAGGCTCCACTTGCATCAGCATATCAATTTGGGACTCTTTGAAAGTGACACAGAAGGAGCGACCACCAAATGAAGGAAGATGGGATACAATGTGGATGTATTTGAGACGAACCATCATACTGGGTTCGTTGGCGAATTGGGAGGTACCTGGAATTGAATTTGACGTGCTAAAATGGTCCTCTAGATACTTACAGGCCTCCAACTCTGGCGGGTACCCATTGCTCACACTTGGTTTTCCGAGACAATCCACTAATCGAGAGCTATCCCGTTTCAAATAGAATCTTATATGCTTCCGGACATCTCTCCTCTTCACATTTTCCAGCACAATAGCTGGGAGGAAGGTGCCAAGACCGTATTCTCTTCTGAAAACCAAAAATTTGAATGCCCGCTTCTAGTGATATGACTTACTCCACCCTCGCCACCGACACCTTATTGTTCTCCTTCAATATATTGCAATCATAGGCGACCTGTTGTACGTGTAAAGCAGCCAGCCTGATACAGGCCTCATAACGCATTTCCATGGCGAAACGGCCACGAACCACGTCGTTTACGCATTGTTGATAGTAGTATTCTAGAGCTTTTGGGTCCGAAACTAAAAGGACAAACGCGTCGGATGGAGCAAACGATAGACGGAATACACAACGGAGATGTTCCGAGTTGGGGAGATCCACTATCTGGAATTATCATGGATTAGGGGTTGGGATCATATTTGAAATTGAAAACAATACTGAAAAAATGAAGACCGCAACCTGTGAATAAGAGATGGAAGGCAATTGACTGTGCGCTCCATTGATAACCGGTGTCGGACCCGTCGGAAAACTAGAACTCACTGTGAATTTCGTTTTGGGGGGACTAGATTTTCAACGGGGCCGACACCGGTCATGAATGGAGCTCATGGTCACTTGCTATATGAAGGTAATCTTTTTTTCAACAAAGTGGCATTTTTTTTTCTCGAAAAAATGAGTTTTTTTCCAAAAAAGTGCGTTTTTTCAAAAAGAGTGAGTTGTTTTTTGAAATTTTGGAGTTTTCATTTTATGGTGCTCCCAGATTGTTTTAAAAAGCTCTTAGACGGCGAAAATGGCTCAAAATGACTTGGAAATTAGTCTGAAACAAACAAAAAGGGACCACAAAGATTACCATAAATCCGGGAATTTAGGCGCTCAGAACTGTATGTTCAGGGCAGCATATCTCGATTGTTTTTGTAGCTATCGAAAAATTTCCAAATAGTAAAATGTTAAAAACGCTTTGCTTAACATTTCTCTAGTTGATAACTTTCTGATATCTTCAAAAGCAACCGAGATATGCTGGTCTGAACATACAGTTCTGTAGGCCAGTCCTGTAATAGATGTAATCTGTGTTCAGAGCAGTATATCTCGGTTGTCTTTGAAGCTATCAGAAAGTGTCTAACTAGTAGAATGTTCAAAATGTGTTGCTCAATATTTCTTCAGTTGACCACTATTCGATATCTTCAAAGGCAACCGAGATATTCTGCTCTGAACATACAGTACCTCTTTCACAAGACCTGCAAGACTCTGGGTCCCCTACTGAGGGCTATCGAGACCGTAATGGAACCCAAACGCCATTTTGGCCCCCTTGATTCGAAAAAAAAACTCTCACCGATTTAATTTTACAATCCGGCCTCAACAAGCTTATCCTACTCGTCCTGGCACCCAATGAGTACTCGACGGCCAGTGAAAAATGTGACGTGGCAGTGATTTGAAGTTTCTCGAGAATACTCTCCAGTATATTCTTAACCGTCGTTGTAGTATCATATTTAAAAGATCTAGTTTGTCCATTTTCCAAGTACACTCGTAAAACATTTGGAAGCAGTGGTGGGAAGTCAGAGTTCTGGAATTCAAAAAATATAATAAAGGCAAATTTCAAAGAAAACTTACATTATCATTATTCGAAGACACTAGTACCCGGTCAGTAAACCGAACTTTACAGTTTTTCCGGGTGCTCTTCGGTCGTTGTGGTAGCTGCTGAACTGCTATCACTAGCTCTTCCTTAGTGGCTCTCACAGCGTTCACCACGTTATCCTTTGATTCATTCTGCATATCCGCTCCGTTTACCTCTAGAATTTGATCGTTAGCGAAGAGGAGACCATCGGATGGTCCTTCTGGAAATTCGGAAATATTTGAGTACAGGGGCGCTGGGGGGTTACCTGGCGACACAAACTGAATTATCGTTGGTAGTTGCCCGGCGGCTACAAAACCAAAACCAATGTCTTTGCCTCGTCGGATACTAACTGTTCGCTTGCCATCTGGAGGTCGAGTTTTCCTGGGGTCGGTGTACGTGGTGGTGCGGTTTAGGTGGCTGGAAATAGAGGCTTTAGTACTGTGAACCTTGTACATAACATACTGCATGTTCAAATCAACATATCTTGGTTGTCTTTAAAGCTATCAAAAAGTGTTCAACTAGTAAAATGTTCAAAATGCTTTGCTTTACATTTCTTTAGTTGACCACTTTTTGATAGCTCTAAAGCCTGCCGAGATATAGTGCTCTGAACAGACAGTACTGTTAGCCAGTCCTCTGTAATAGGGGGATCTGCGTTCAGAGCAGCGTATCTCCGTTGTCTTTGAAGCTATCAAAATATTTTTAACTGGTAAAATGTTCAAAATGCTGCACTGAATATTTTATTAGTTGATCACTTTTTGATAACTCTGAAGCCTACTGAGATCTGCCGCTCTGAACATACAGTGCGCCTAAACTACAGGATTTACGTCGTATGCTGTCCCAGTGGCCTAGCGGCTAGCGCTCCCGTTTTCGAATTATCTGTCGGGGGTTCGAACCCATCCGGGGCCTTTTATGTTTTTTTTTCTATAAAAAACTCACTCAATATAATAAGTGTTCCCGTCATTGTCCTTTGCCTGTTCCCATCCGTAAGGTAGTCCCAGTCGACACCTCCACGACGCCCATGGTGGTTCCCAGTGGGAGCTTCGGGTTGTGTGGCTGGAAAATGAACAGATTTTTGATAGCCAGACCAGATAGGGTTTTTCAATTCAATCCTGATTTCTTGACCAATTTCTGTGGATTTTTGTCCAGTTTTGACCCAGCTAAAACCAGGTTTTTTCAGCTCCATCCTAGTTAACTTCCCCTCACTCAACCCAACTTTTTTCAGCTCATTTTTTAGTTTCCAAATCCGAAATTTCAGATTCAGTCACCTTTTTTTTCAATACTTACATCAAGTCCTTAATCTCATCCACACTCCCCGAACAACAGATACGTTTGGGTGGTGACTGAGAGCCGCTGGCGTAGAATTGAAGACTTTTCGACTTGATCATTATTTTTCCATTTGCTTTAATTTTTCGATTTTTTTTTTCAAAATTGAAAAAAAAGAGGTAGAATTACAAGAAGATTTCGAAAAATTAGAAGCAACCAGGAAGAGAAACTGAGGAGTCCGAGTGGAGAAAATGAGCAATAAGATATTTTAGGACCCTTCATTTTCTAGGAATTCCCATGTACGAATAACTAAAACTGGTGTCACCAGACAAAAAATGATGTGATGATGAAAATAAAATTTCTGTGTGAACAAAAAAAACACGAACAATTTGTGTGTGCTCTTTGTGAGCCGGACGGACCACCGAATGAAATTTGATATAGACTAAAAAGAAGACGAAGGGGGGAGGACGAAACGAAGAAGCGACGGGGAAGACTGAATGAAATTACGAAACTAACACCCCAGAAATCTCTTCTTTTTTCCCATTTGGTTTCTGAAGTTTTAGTGTGTATTTTGGTAAGGAATTAGGGGGAAAATGTTGCCAAAGTTTGGAAATCGGTTATCATGAAGCTTGATGGTCAAATAAGGTGCTACCCCGCATTAGAACTGTCCCGTAATAGAACTTCCCGGATCAGAACCAGGCCATATTCAAGCTCCCAGTTGCGACTCGAGGCTGAATTTTTGTACTGAATATGACATTGTGGCCCTAAACATTTCCTCAATTTTCCGAGTTTCCAGATACTTCGGAAGTACCCGGTTCTAATCCGGCCAGTTCTAATACGGGGCAGTTCTGATGCGGCCAGTTCTAATGCGGGGTAGCACCTCAAATAAATGCTTCAGTTTACCTTGAAGGCACATGTTAGGTTACGCCACAGGTAAGCGGGTCTGTAAAACTTTTCTCGTTTGAGAAACGTCAAAATTTTTCCGAAAATACAAAGTTTTTGAAAAATCCAACAGGGGTTCTTAGATATTGCTCAAATTAGAAAGATATGTACTTGAATAGTATTCAGGCCTTGCCGTAACAAGTTGCATGCGCCTTTAAGGTAAATATAGAGGTCAGCTGGCGATTCCGTCCGTCTAAATTGGCCGATTTCAAGAGCTATACTTGACTATACTCAATATGAAGCCAAATTTTCGATTTCTAACACAAAGCTTCGAATTTTTATGGCCTACCGTCATGACCCCTGGAATTTAGGTTCATGGTATGATCAGAGCAGTCTATCTCGGTTACCATTATAGCTATCAAAAAGTAATTAACTAAAGAAATGTCAAGAAATAAATTTTAAACATTTTATTAGTTGAAAGCTTTTTGTTAGCTCTAAAGACAAACAAGATATGCTGCTCTGGATACAGATTACCTCTATTACAGGACTGGCCCACAGTACTGTGTGTTTAGAGCTGCATATCTTGGATGCCGTTACAGCTATTGAAAACTTGTCAACTGAAAAATTGTTAAACAAAACATTTTGAACATTTTACTAGTTAAAAATTTTTTGATAGCTGTAAAGGAAACTGAGATATGCAGCTCTGAGCATGCAGTGTCCCTGAATTACAGGACTTACTTGGGTTCAGGCCACTGAACATGAACAAAAGTCTTCAGAAATAGCTATCACCACCTTACGTAATATGTAGCCAATCCTTGGTATCCTAGGCCACCTATTCCCACTTATCCCAAAAAAGTATCTCACTAAAAGATTGCTTACTAAAAAAGTCCTCAGAAAAACCGAAATCAAAAAGAAAATGGTTGTGAAAATGGAAGACGTCTCTCTCACTCGTTTCTCAAAATAAAAAGAGGAGAAGAAAACTTAAACTAAAAGAAGTGCTCCCCCGGGGCGACATGGAACGATGGGTTGACATTTCTTCGGGAAAACTTTTCCGGAGAGGGGGATAGTATATGGAAATGTTTTATCATATGGGGGAATATTGTATAGGGGGAATAGGGGGGGGGGGGGGAATGATTCATGAACTAAGGGGGAAAAGTTTATTTATGGAATAGGGTGTTGGTCAAGCAGTGTGTTTGTAGAGAAGAGGAGAAAGTCATGGGAACTTTTTCTGTTATTTTGAGCAAGTTATGATCAAGATCAAAAGTATACATGACGTTTTTAAGGTCGCCATGAGCATCTTGGAGCTCTGTCATACTGGTCTTGGGCTCAAACTCACCATAAGTAGCTAAAGAATGGTTCTGGAGTAAAATAACTAAAAATTTGAGTTTTCTGAGTAGTTTGAAGTACCAGGGATCAAATTTACGTTCTAGGAAAGTTAGCAAAAACCCAATTAAGTTTTGCACACCGTCCCAACCCATCTATGATGTCATACAGGCCCCGGAGAAGCAAGAGTACATGAGTCATGTCTTCAATAAATCTTGGGAGAAAGAAAGAAAGAGCGCGACCACAAATCGCTGGTCGTTTTGAAGAATGATAGGTTGGGGTGGAAGGGAAAGCAACAGTAATTATAGTTTTCAAGCAGGAGCAATTTTTTCAGCTAGAGAAGGTTAGTGTGTTTTGGTGATTTGTTGAGGGGAAATATGATGTATTGCTTGAAGAAATGAGTTTTTTTTCGGAAAAATAAGTCTTTGTCCTAAAAATGATTTTTATTCAGAAAAAAGAGCTTTTTTTGAAAAAAATGTGAGTTTTTTCGAGAGGTTTTTTTCCATATTTGTGAAATCTCGGCCCGGCCCGGCAAAGCCCGGAGGCTCTTAATTTTCAAGGCCCGGCCGGCCCGGAGGCCCAATTCAAAAAATTTCAAATTTTTCGGAAAATTTTCATTTTTTCACTGAAAATTCATAAAAAAAAGTGTTAAATGCTTCAAAAACTCAAGCTGCTGTTTTTCAGGTCAATATAACCCTGAAGCACAAAATTTGGAAATTTTTTTTCTATTTTTCATAATTCGCGGTAATTTTCCGGGCCGAGCGAATCTTACAGGCTGAGCCGTAACAAGTATGATTTTTTGGAAAAAATGAATTTTTTCGGAAAAGTGATTTTTTTCGGAAAAGTGACTTTTTTTCGGAAAAGTGACTTTTTTTCGAAATAGTGATATTTTCCGGAAACATTTTTTGTACAAAATGAATGAAAAAAACTGAACTGAGACTCCTATGATTTCTGCCTAACTAGGCTACTGTAGTCTTTCTGGAATAAGCTCCGCCCCCTCACTTTTCTCCTATTTTCCCAACTACTACTACTGCTAGGAAGAAAACAGAAACTGAAAGGCAAGACAAAGCCGTGAAACAAATGTTTTTCCCCTTTTTTCTACCGATCGGAATTTTTTTTGTTTGTTTTCCCCTGACCGTCACCCCCCGTTCACCTCCTCCTCCAACTGTTTGTTACCTAACTCTGTTACCTAACCCTGAGGAATGGGAAAATTCACAAAAAAAAAGAAGTTGAGAAATCAGAAAAACTGAAAAAAATGGATAGGAGAACGGAAGGAAAAGGGCAAAGGGAATCAAAGTTCGGCTAGACAGAAACTGACAATTTGTTCAAATTTCTAAAAGCATTCCTCTCGCAGAAAGAGTACAAGAAAACAATAATAAAAGTGGAAGACAGCAAGGGAATTATCTTAAAGGCGCACGGCAATTTTAGAACTTTTAAGACAAAATTTGTTCAGCCAGGCCATATAAAAATGTGGAAATTCCATGAAATTTGCTTCAAAATAAATGAGTTTTTTCAAAAAACCTCTAATGCTGAGTTCAATTTTTCAAGACGGTCTAGAAAAATATAACTAGAACCGGTCAAAAAATTCTAGAAATTTCTCAAAAAAAGTAATAAGAAATAAAATAGTGAATAGAAAATAGGTAGTCCCCTCCCCCTATTCCCCCTATTCCCATTCATATTCTCATAAATACCAGTAAAAACAGAGATAACGATGTGTATAGGGTCTCTATAGAGTCTATGTGTGTGTGCCTTCACATCAACAATTGAAGTTTTTTCCCCTTTAGACAGTATTAAAAACAGGAGAGATGCAGAGAGCAGGAGAGAATGGAATGGATGGAAATTGTGAAAAAAGAGCTATATAGTTTTTTTTGTTGGTGAGAGTATTGAGAATATATTGAGAATTTTTGAAGTTATTAAGAGAAAAAGAGAAGACGTGGGTAAATTGGAGAGATAATTGGCGTTTCTCAAATGATCCTTGCACTTCATAATTAGAGAAACTGAAAATTGGCATTTTAATTCAATTAATGAGCTTTTTTTAAAATTATGATTTTCTCAAAGTATACGTTTTTTCACTTTTGAAAGTTTTTTTCTATTCTGGAAAACTGGAAAAAAAACATGTCTCTCTATGTATCTTCTAATAGGAAAAGTTGACTGAAAATACAAAGAAATAGATACCATAATCATGTAACATAGGCACATCCAGTACTGTATGCTCAGAGCAGCATATCTCGATTGCCTTTGAAACTATCAAAAAGTAGTCAACTAAAGAAATGTTAGGTAAAGCATTTTGAATGCTTCACTCGTTGAAAATTTTTTGACAGCTTCGAAAACAACCGACATATGCTGTTCTGAACATGCAGTATGCCTAAATACCGCTATCGTGAAAACTGTATTAGTCAGCCCTGTATGTTCAAAGCAGCGTTTTTCTCACATGGGTT